CCAAAAACCCCTTAGTACCTATTGTCATGAAAATTTATTTACAAGAAGGTCTTACACATTTTGGGACCATTTTGTTATATTTTAGCTACACACTGAAGGGGTTAACTCTGATTCTGCTTTTTAGTTATGAGAACAAAAATAAAGGAACGTATGCTTTTGTCGAAAACTAATTGTTTTTATTGTTGTTAGTATACTCTGGGTTCATACTTAAGGGGACATTCCAGTTCAGAATGTCAAAAAAATAGATTTTTTTTTTTTTATTTTCGGATTTCTTATAGTGTCAAGAATACTCTCCTAAAATATTATTGCAAAATTCGACGTAAAACAAAAGTTATACATCCTTATTCTTCGCCATGTCAAAGATGTTTTTGTATGCGGATAAGCAATCGAATGATTTAAATGTTTTCTCATTTGCATTTTTTAAAAAAGACAAACAAAAATGTATTTGGTGTTGCTGATCACAAATTAGATATCAAATTTTCTAAATTCAAAATGGCGGATCCAATATGGCGGAAAAGAAAATTTTTTTATTTTAATTTTTTTTTCGTCCACCATATTGCATCCGCTATTTTTAATTTTGAAAAAATGATGTCATATTCGTAATCAGCGACCCCAACCCCCCCCCCCCGTAACGATTTTCAAGCAAATCCAATGATTTTGAAAAAAAATGTCCGCCATATTGGATCCGCCATTTTAAATTTTAAAAATCTTATTCCATATTCGTAATTAGCTACCTCAAAAACCCCCGAGTAACGATTTTTAAGCAAATCCGATGATTTTTTTAAAAAAATTTCGAAACTTATGAACAAAAACTTTAAATGCATTTTTCTCAAAATGTCTTTTTTTGATCTGGTAAGAGTGATATCTCGAGTTCTTCTGAAGCGATTTTAAAAAATCAAACGGCTTTTGATTCAGCGTCATCATGCCTATAAGTGGAACCTCAAAAACTGGAAAATTTCCAACTCCCCTTTTTTTATAAGAGAAATTCTGAATAAAAACACTTTTTTTTGCTTATTTTTGGGAAAAAGTACTCTAAAAAAAGGGGGGGAAAGAAAATTCCACTTTTTTGAGGTTCCACACCTAAAGAATTATCTAACGAAGAGAATGTTACTTCGTTTTTGGTTTTATCTGTTTTAGAAAGTTTGGAATCGATCTTACCACCTAAAATGGGCATTTTCAAAAATGGCGTATATCGCCGCCATTTTGAAATAAAAATTAAAAAAAAATTTTTTTTAAATTCTTAAATAAATTACTTATTACATGTAAAAAAAATTTTTTAAATAAATGTCATAGTTATTTTAATAATATATACTAAAAAAGCCTTCTTTTTGCCTGTTTTGAACTGGAATGTCCCCTTAAAGGGGTAGTTTTTTCAATATAAATCAATAAGAGGGTGATGAAGCAATGCTGATGCTTTATTAAAAAGTACATAAATATATTCTTCTACTTTGGAAAAAACCTGTTATATCATTTTTTTACTATAATTCTTGAATTTTAGATTTAAGGGCAGGGGGTGATGGAGCAATTTCGTCATTATTTCTGAGTTGTTGAAAGAAAAAAAAGCATTAATATATTTTTCTACTTCGCAAAAAAACTGGTAATTTCATTCTTTGACTTTAGTTCTTGAATTTTAGATTTAAGGGTAGTTTCTCCCATTTAAAAGAAACAGGGGTGGTGGAGCAATTTTGACATTATTTCTGAGAGGTTAAAGGAAGAAAACGCATAAATATATTCTTCTACTGCTAAGAAAACCGGTTATTTCATATTTTTTTACTTTAGTTCTTGAATTTTAGATTTAAGGGTAGTTTCTTCGATTTAAAAAAAAGTAGGGGTGGTGGAGCAATTTTGACAATATTTCTGAGTGGTTGAAGGAAGAAAACGCATAAATATATTCTTTTACTCCGAAGAAAGCCGTGTTTTTATTTTTTTTTTACTTTAATTCTTGAATTTTAGACTTAAGGGTAGTTTTTTCGATTTAAAAAAAACAGAGGGTGATGGAGCAATTCTGACTTCATATTCGTATTCAGGGGGCCAAAATACTATAAGACATATGTAGGTCTTGTTCAATGAACAGACAACTTTTTTTTTGTGTGCCTGTGATTATAATCATGCCTAAATTAAAAAAATTTAAAATTTTTAGGTATAAAATAATTTTTTAATAAACATTAATAAAAATTTAGTTTTCTAAACATTATTCAAAAGTAGACGAAAGAACAAAGTTTTGTCCTCTTGATGTAATTTTTCTAAATTCAATAGATTAAGTTATAGATAATTAAAAATAAGTATACTTAGATTTCTTTGAATAATTTTTTAACATAATTAAATTTTTCAAATATGTCTACAATAGAAACCTTTTTGAATAGTTGAAATTTTGCAAAATTTAATTGAAAATAATTAATTTATTTCAAGTATTTTGTTACAATTTTTTGAAGAATTTTAATTGCAAATTTTGAAAATAATTGAATTACCAAATATTAAAAAAAAAATTTTTAAAGATAAATTAGGATATAAGAATTATTTTAAGAAATTCAATTATTTTCGAAAAATAACATTATAATATTTTTAAAGCAATTGTTTAAAAGATAAAAAAAACACAAACTGTTAGAGGCAAAAAAGGAGATATTTAAAAAAATCATTTTTTCCTCGCACTTATAATTCACATCAATATCAAACATCGGAAAAAAAAACCTCGATACATCGAAAATATCGAAATTAAAACATCGAGGTTGTAAACATTGATGTTTCCGATGTCGATGTCCCATCATTACCTACAGAAAATCCTATTAGTAAGAAAAGAATGGACGTATCTTCGCCCTTTTCTTACTAATTATCCAGAGAATCAGGCTAACATTCAAAATCTAACCTTCTAAGTTTAGTTATTTCAAAAAAATTATTTTATTGATGCAAATAAATATTTATTTTAATTAAAAACTATGCATTATTGAATCAAGTAATTTTCATAATTGATTTAAAGCAATATTTATTAGATCAAATTATTCTATTTAATTGACTTAAGTAATTTGTATTTGGTTCAAATAACTATTTATTTGATACCATAAATTAAAATATTTATGTCCAGTAAATATTTACTTAGTTCAAATAAATAAAAATAAATAAGTAAAAATAAATAAGTTTAAATACAACCGAACGAGCGTTAGCGAGTGAGGTATATGTTGCTAGTTTAAATAATTTTGCCGGAAAAATGATTATCCTATTTTCAATTGGAAAAGTTGAGTGACGAATTTTCGTTTTCGGAAAACTTCCAGTGACTAAAATGTTCATCAATATGTTAGGAAGTTTTTTGGAAAATTTTTCGTCATTTGATAATAAATTAAAGAAAATAGAGCAATTTTAACAGTGTCGCGCTCTGCTGTAAAATTACGGCGTGGCCGCGCACGTGTGGAATGGCCGCCATTACAAGACCAATGTATACAGTGAGTCAATGTTTACGTTTACAGCAGAGCACGACGCTGTTAAAATTGCTCTATTTTCTTTAATTTACTATCAAATGACGAAAAATTTTCAAAGAAACTTCCTAACATATTGATGAATATTTTTGTCACTGGAAGTTTTCCGAAAACGAAAATTCGTCACTCAACTTTTTCAATTGAAAATAGCTGCATCATTTTTCCGGCACATTTATTTAAATAATTATTTACTTAGACATAGAATTTTTGAAAAATTACTAAATATTGTTTCACTTTTGAACTAGTTTGAAGAATATTGTGTGTAAATTTCGTGGAAAAATATTAATATTTAACGAAGTAATCACGAGTTGAAGTCAAAAATTCATTAAAATTTCTTAGGTTAGAAAATCACGCTTTTCTCAATTTACTTAAAAACAAACAATTATATAAAAAAATTTTATTAGAAAAAAAGTTTCGCCTTGAAATTCTAAACAAGAAACAATAATTTTAAATTCATTTTGAACAACTTCAAAATTTTCTCTCCATAACCCAACTGACTGGCCGTGTGTTCACGCGTAACACATTATAGCATCCAGCCCCTCAATTGTACACAGTTTGATTCTATGCAGTAGAATTATATACTGCAAAATATTATTTTATTTGTTGAACTGCATACAGGTAAATTGTATACAAGATAAAATACGATTAATTGTATACAGTTGTATTGTACATAGAAATTTTTTGCATTATATTATTCTTAAACTGTATACATTTCAACTCTACACAAATAATTTTTAATAATTTTATTTTTTTAATATGCTTGTTTGAATACAGTTACATTCTACACTCTTTAATTTAATAAAATAATAACAAAAAATTCTACACCGTTAGATTCTATACAGTAGAATAATATATAAAATTGTACTGCATAGAATCTAACTGTGTAGAATTTTTGTTATTATTTTATTAAATTAAAGAGTGTAGAATCTAACTGTATTCAAACAAGCATATTAAAAAAATAAAATTATTAAAAATTATTTGTGTAGAGTTGAAATGTATACAGTTTAAGAATAATATAATGCAAAAAATTTCTATGTACAATACAACTATATACAATTAATCGTATTTTATCTTGTATACAATTTACCTGTATGCAGTTCAACAAATAAAATAATATTTTGCAGTATATAATTCTACTGTATAGAATCAAACTGTGTACAATTTTTCGATACAATTTTACCAAATTTAATAGTGTAGAATCTAACTGTATTCAAACAAGCATATTAAAAAAATAAAATTATTTAAAATTATTTGTGTAGAGTTGAAATGTATGCAGATTAATGATAAATATTTATAATACATATTTGTGTACAATTCAACAGTATACAATCGAACGTGTACAGTTCATCAATGTAGAGTTTAAATGTGTAGTATCGCTACCGCCCCGAGACTTTTCTAGTGTACAGTTAGCGGTGTAGAATTTTCTTGTGTAGAGTTTATTTTTGTAGGATTAATACCGCCCCCTTAAATTATAGTTGAACTTCAATGTAAAAATTTAATACTTCTTAAATTGATTCTTAAAATATAACTTACTTCCTTTTGCTTCAGAACAGTTGGATCGAATTTATAATAGAGATGTTCAATTTTTCGTAGATAGACACGGCAAACTTCTGAAACTGTTCCCTTTCTTTCAAGATACTCTTGAACTTTATCTATAATGGATGCCACTTGTTTCTCGTCTTTCAATCTGAGTAGAAAAAATTTATTTCTACATTTATTACTATTTATTTTATTTGTCTAAAATTTTTTTATTATTATTATAATTTATTGATATTTAATTGACTGATTAATTTTCATTATCCCCTAATTTTCAAGAGAAGTTGCTTCTAATCTATCTATTTATTTATAGATTAATTACGTTTTTTAAATTAAAAAATATTTTTTTAAATATATTAATAATAATTATTAATCCGTATAATAGTAAATTATATATTTTTTTAGTAAATATGAATTTCTAATAGATTCTATAATGAATTTATAAATACCTCAATAATTAAGTATTTTACGCTTATATTTTTAAATTTAATTTGGGGAAAATATTTTTAATATTAAAAAAAACTAAATGTACTTTTTCGAAAGTTGAAAAATTGAATAGAAATCTTTTTAAATCGAATTTTACCTTTCGACATATTCATTACTGTGAGGATCGCATTCCTTCAGAAGTTTGGTAAATTCTTCATCGAGTCTTTCGACCAAAGTAAGAACACATCCATGCAATTTGTAAGGTGCCTTCTCATACTGTTCTTCATCTTCAGAAACCGTCTCGGCAATCTGCATGTCCGCTGTATTTAAAATCATATCCAACATCTCTGAAATGCGCTCAAGTAATCTGAAAGTAGATAAAAATGTAAATTACATTTTTCTAAAATTATTCTACAAACATACCTAATTTTAAATCAAGAGAATTTCTTTGAAAACTTCAATAATATTATAATAATATAAAGAAAGAAAAAATTATGTATCTATCTTCCTTGTTTCCTAATTTTTAAAATAATTTTTCTTTTTAAATTCTTCTCAGAATTTTATTACAATTTCTAAAAATAATTTTATTCATTCAATGAATTTTATTAAAATGTTGAAATTAATTCAATTTTTTCGAAGAATGGATACTATTAAAGATTTTTAACAATAATTGAATTCCTTCAAAAAAATTTTTTAATTTTTTTAATATAATCGATTTTGTTAAAAATTATTGTCAATAATTTTACTATTAAAGTTTATTAAAATTATTGGTAGAATTATTGATAGAAAATTAAATTCTTCTAGACAATTTTATTAGAGTTTTTGTAAATAATTAAATTCTTTTCAAGTTTTTTGAAAATAATGTAGTTTTTTAAATAATTTTAATTAAAAATTTGAAAGTAATTGAATTAAACAAAGATATTTTTCAACTCTTAAAAATATTCGTATCTGTTAAAAATTTGATTTTTGAATGTTATTAAAATTGTATTTAAAATAATTAAGTTTCTGAGAATTTATTAACATTTTAGAAAATATAACTAAATTCTTTTGAAAAATTTTAAAAGTAATTGAATTCTTTCGTGAAGTTTTATTAAAATTGTATTGAAAATAATTGAATTCCTGCAAAGAATTTTACTACATATACATACATATTCATAAAAATGGAAATGAATTTTTCCGAAGAATGTTATTATTTAAAAAATATTTCACTTACTTTGACCAGTATTCAGGTTTCATTGCATCGGAGACTTTCGGATTATAATCAAATATTGATGAAACAATGGAAAATTTAATTTTAACGGCCACAGCTGGACCAAGATTATGTGCATCGGCAATCAATTGTAATTCATGAAGAAGTTCAATTTGCTCACGACGATCGGTACGTTTTTTGCCACGTGCCGCAATTACTTCTGTCAATTTTTTCAAAACTGCAGTGACATTTATTTCGGCGTCCTTGGCAAACATTTTTGGCTTCTCCGATGGTATAGCAACACCACCTTTAACAGTTTCCCATTCGCCCTCACCATCATCTTCGTCGCGCTTCTTTTTCCTCTCCTTCTCCTTGCGCTCCTTACGTTGCTCCTTCTTCTTTGCTTTATCCTCATCGTCCTCTTTATCTGTTGCTCTATTAATTAATAGAAAAAATTAATTTGATTAAAAGTTACTTTTTTAAACATCTTTTTCTTCTATTTATCCATTACTCAAAATTAATGAATCAAATTTTGGAAAATAGAAGAAAAAATGTTAAGAAATAGATTCTTTTTTCTTTCTTTTCGGATAATATTCTTACTTTTTAATGAAACGTTCACGAATATTTTGATATTGTCCTTCATCGTCACTGCTGGTGCTGTCGCTGTCGGAGTCACTTCCCCAATCGGAATCGCTCTCACTTCCTTCATCTCCATCGGTTACACCTTTCTGTAAATAAAATAATATTTTAATAATTTATATTCTTTATCAATATTAATTATTTCGGGAGTTAACTTCCTAACGCAATTGTTTCAATCTTTTAAAGTACTTTCGGAAATCCAATTATCTTCAAAAAATTTTAATTACAATTTTACAAAAAATCTAATTTTTTTAGAATTTTTACATTAAATTATTAGAAACTTCAATAATTTTAGTTATTATTGTTATTTATTTTAATTAAAATTTTAAATAATTTCAATCTAAAACTTTTTTAAATTTAATTACTTTTAAAAATTACCACTGCAGTTTTTCCAAAAGTTTTTTTTTTAATTTGAAAAAGAAAATTTATGGACTATTTAAGATTTCCAATAATATTTAATATTTTTTTAATACTTTAGATAAAATTTTTTTAATTTACTTATTTCCCTGTCCTGTGAAAATCCTGTAATATTGTAAAAATTATAGGGGAGTTAAGTTCACTAAAACACTAATCACTCTATTTATAAATTAATTGTCAAACTTTTGACATGTTAATTTGAGCTTGTAATACAATTTGGAATCAAAAAGCCCTAACTTCACGTGGGAACAGAATACCTTGATTATTATTATATAAACATGGCAAAATCCTACGCGCGCGATGCGTGAGTAAATTATTTAAAGAATTATCAAAGCAGCAATCTGCCTACCTGCCTATCACAGAAGAAGAATAATAAATTTAATTTATATCTACCTATCCTTCCATGTTTATAATAATTATAATTTTTTTTAAATCTCGGTATTTCAACTAAATTAGTATTTCCACGCTTCAGAAGCAATTTTTATCTTTTGTTAATTGTTTATTTTAATGTTGGAAGTCATTTAAAAAAATTTGTATGAAGATCCACGGCGGGAAGAACAGAATATTTAAAATTTTTGTCGTGAATTTTTCAAAAATTCCAGAGATGTCAACTAAATTATTATTAATATTATTCCCTCAACTCGGAAGCAATTTTTATCTTTTGATAATATTGTTTATTTTTATGTTAAAAGACATTTAACAAAAATTTGCATGGGAAAGCAGTGATTTTGATTTTTTGTCACGGATTTTTCAGAAATCCTAGAATTTAAAATAAATCATTATTGAAAAAAATAAAAACCACTGCTTTTCGCGCATTGGATCCTCTTGCAAATTTTTTCAACGACTTCTAACATTCAAATAAACAATTAGCTAAAAAAAATTGCTTCCGAGGCGTGGAAATGATAATTTAGTTTAAATACCGGTTTGCGATTTTTTAATGGCTTCTGTTATTAAAATAAATATTTATCAAGTGAAAAAACTGCTTCCGAGTCAAGAAAACATTAAGTTAGTTAAATTTCCGAGATTGTTGAAAAATCCGCGAAAAAATATAAAAATCACTGCTTTTCTCGTCTTGGATCCACTTGCAATTTTTTAAAAATGGCTTCTAATATTAAAATAAATAATAAACAAGTTGCTTCCGAGGCGAGGAAACAATAATTTAGTTGAATTTCCAGGAATTTTGAAAAATCCGTGACAAAAAAATCTATATCACTGCTTTCCCCAACTTGGATCCTTCCAAATTCTTTTTAAAGGGCTTTTAACATTAAAATAAGTAATTAGTAAAAGTGCAAATTTGCCTTGAAACAACGTTGGTAACTTCAGTTTCATCAAATCTTTGATGTCCACTCGTAAAATTAGACAAAATTAAAAAAAAATTTCTACAACTTTAAACAAATCAATTATAATTTTATAAAGACATGCCTTCTACTCAACTTAAGTTTTAGAACCCAGTAATAAGGGGTGAATTAAAGAGGATTGGCACTTTTATGCCCTTAAATTCCAAACCAATTCCGTTTTTGTCCGCAATCTTAATGAATTCCTTTTCTATTGTTAAATTGAAGGGCTACATAAAATAAGGGGACGAACGCATGGCTGAAAGGGATATTATCAGTCAGGTAGCAGCGAGCGGCTTGTCACTGCTACCCGACTGGTAGTATCCAGGCTTCGCACTCCATTATGAGTTTAAAAAAGTAGGAAAAAGTAGCCTCGACGACAAAAAAAAGTAGGAAATAGTAGCCTCGGTGACAAAAAAAAGAATGAAAGAATTTCATTAAAAACTTTTTAAAAAATCGAATTTTCAAAGTATTTTAATTTAATAATTGATAAATAATTAAATTTTACAAGGAGTCACATTCTAATGTATTCATGTTTCTAAGTGCGAAGATTAATAATTAAAATTGTTATTAGTTAATTTAAAAAAAGATACACACTTCAAATTTTTTAATAAAATTGAATTTTCGCAAAGTTTTTTTTGAAAATTTTGAAAAATAAGATTTTTTAATTCTGATATTTCAAGATAATTGAATTTTTATAAATAAATAATTGAAAATTTTTAATGTAATTTAAATTTCTTTACATTCTATTACAAATAATTTACTTCTTTTACAGAATTTTATTTAAATTTTTCGAAAATAATCAAGGGAAGTTAGTCACCGTATAATTATAATTTTATTTTTAAAAATTTATTCGCAATATAAGTTCAATTATTTCTATAAATAACAAGAATTCATTTATATTAACCACAAGAATTCAATTACTTAAAAACAATTTTGACAAAATTCTACACAAATATTCAATTATTTTATAAAAGAATGAAAATTTCATAGGAATTGAATTATTAAAAATAGAGTTTATCTAGATTTTTTTTTAAATCAATAATTTGAAACTTTTTTATAAAATCCTCGCAATAATTCAATTACTTTCATAAATAATAAAACTCATTGCAGAAATAGAATTATGTTTAATACAATTTTAATCAAATTCGTCGAAAAATGCAATTATTTTTAAAAATTTGATTAAAATTTGTCAAAAGAATTCAATTATTTTCATAAATAGCTAAAGTTCTCAGATTTACTAAATTCTTTTGAATATTATTTTTGGAAAATATTCTTCACAAGAATTCAATTATTTTCATAAATTTCCATAAAATTCGAAAAAAACAAATCAATTAAAGTAATAAAATTCTCCGCAAAAATTCAATTATGTTTAAAAATTTTTTGAAATTCTCCTCGAAATTTCAATTATCTTTATAAATAATTAAATTGTTCTTTACAATTAAATTATTTTCAAAAATTATAATTAAATTGTTCTTTACAATTAAATTATTTTCAAAAATTATAATGAAATTGAATTAATCAAATTTTTAATTATAATTATGAACAGACAAGATTTTTTTTGAAAAATTGAAAAAATTCTTTGTTTAATTCAATTATTTTTCAAATTTTTAATTAAAATTATTAAAAAAAACATTATTGGCAAATATTCATAAAAAATCTAATACAAATTTTGGAAACCATTTGTAGATTTATTTATGTTCGAAATCAAATAAATTTAAATTTGATAAGAAAATAAAACCGGGAAAAATTAGGACAAAGCCGGGAAAAACAGGAAATTTAAAGGTTATCATTTTCAAGAAAATCTAAACACAATTTATAATCAGTCACTATTGATAGAGTAAATGTCGGTAAAATTATTTCCTAATATCTTATTGACTGTCGTTTTTCATTAACGATTTTAGATTTTGTTACGTCCGTAACTTCTTAATATACTTAAATTATCTATAATATTTAGGTGTGTATTTCTTTTAAACATATTGAATTATACAATATATTATACTAACGTATTTGAAATACGTATTCATACAATCTCTTTATATTATTGCATTATATTCAATATATTTAATAAGAAGGTAATTGTCATTATAAATTTGATATGTATTTAAACAAACTTATTAATTATAACAAATCCAAGAAAGATGGGTAATACTTTTCATGTAAAAAGAATAACGATAATCCATCAAACAGATTAATATAATCCCATAATCATTGGAGTGTATAAAACAAGCAGGCAGGTGTCTAATTTCTGGAAACTGAACTGAGAGGTACAACGGTCGCCCCTCAGCCCCCCTTAAACTATCGCTCTAGATTGCAACCTAGCAGCCACAAAAGAGAGAGACAACAGTCGCCCAGCACTCACAACTGAGAGAGAAAAATAATCACTCCTCACGCCTCTTAGACAGTCATCACGGCATTGCAGCTAGTCGCTCCAACCCCCCTTAAAATCCAACCAACATCGACACGTGTATGATTCCAAAGAATTGATGAAGACAGTTTTATATAAAAGGGGATATGAGTTCTACTCAGATCAGAGAGTAGTTTTTTAGAAATCAACTTGAACACATCGCTTAGTAGAAGAGAGTAATTTTTTGGGAATCAACCAGTTTACATCGTGCAGTCAACGTTAACACATCACATAGTTTACAAGTGAATTCAAAGTACATCTTTGAAAGTGAACAGTATATCTTCAAGTATTCTTTTCAAAGTGCATTGTTCGAAAGTGAACAATATATCCCCAAGTGTTAAAATTGAAGTGAACTGTAAATCAACCTTTTATTATACACCAATTTGCAAAATATAAATTTTAAACAATTTCCAAAATTATTAAATTGGAAATAATCTCAACAATCAAAGATCTAATATTGAAACAACACATTCCAAATTTCGAACCATCGAAATTTGCTCAAGAGGCGACAACCGTCTGGAAGAAAGCAGATATTTTCAAAATACAATACACTATCTCATTAGTGTAAACAAGAGGATTAATACCCAACCATTAAGGACAACAAGCAGAAGGCCCCTTTTCGTCTAGTGCTCAACACCATTGAGATTAAACAGGAGATTATCATCACACCACCAGTAATCGTTATTCTTTAAGTAAGATTCATAATTTTGTACTCATTGTAATTTTGTCAACTCTTTTCTTTCTTGTTGGTTTTTAAATAAATTATTCTCTCACATTTAGTAGGCTCATTGACTTATCCTCATCCCAAATTAGATTCATTTATGAAACTAATTTAAAACGAGGAACGCTAGGTATATTTAAAAAGGTTTCTCGTTTTGACGTAACAATTTTAACACTGTTGTTAAATGGAAATGTGAAACTAAAAATCTAA